AAAATTTGTAAATTTACATTTCTGATCATATTCCTTTTGACTATTTAGACTTTTAGCCACTGCAAGTGCAACTTGATCATTTTCTATTCACTGTCATTTTTTGGTTGGACTTTCACGTATTGATGTTGATGATGAAGAAAGTTAAGGTGAGCAGCCAAGAAATATACTTGCCACTGTGTTTTCTTTCAACTTTAACTTCTTCAATGGTGCAGATATGGTTTCACCAGTCTTTTCATTATAAGTCGATAAGTTAAATATTCTAAAATTTAAAAAGAAAAAAAAACTAGTTCGGATAGTCGGCGCTCTTCTGTATTTACTATATTTCTTTTTCTGTGATATAACCATGGGTGAATAAATACTTTGGGTGTATTACTTTAAAATTTGTTCGAAGTTTCTGCACCTGTTATACATGTAGAATCATCCTTTATTTTTAATAGGAAAAGTTTAGAGTCGTAGAATTAGGTTTTGAAAAAGTAAGCAAACCAGCATTTCAGTTATATGTGTATTATTTTCAGACTTTACATTCATATTTACTTTACATTACATTCATACAGACATATTTACATTCAAAGAAGAAAAAAAAATTAACATAAAAAAGATTTCATTTTGGTTATAAGCATTGCTAACATGCTGATGTAAATGATCACAGGCAATCAAATTACTCCACCACACGATTTTTTTAAAAATATAAAATGTTTCCTTAATTTTAATTTTTTATAATGTTGTAGTTAACTACAGGCATTTTGTTCTCAACAAAATTTTTTAAGGAAAGGAAGAGAAAACCAAGTGCAAATGATTGTTAATATAATAGACTTTGCTGATTTGATTATTATTATAATAACTGCTTTCGAATGTTTTAGGAATATTCTACGTTATATTTCTTCCAGGAAATTTTAAAGTTAACTTTGCTTACCTTCGAGTTCTTTGTGACATTGAAATTTTCTCTTGGAATCGCTCGTAACCATTTCTGTTTAAGATTCTCTTAAAAATATCTAATAAATATTTGAAATACGTACTTTCAGTGACTTGAAAATAGAAAAAACTATTAACATGTGTTAATGAAAATATTTTAAAATTAGATTTAAATTATTGAAGATATGACAAACAAACATATACTAATTATTTATGAAAACTTTCACAAATTTTTTTTTTCTTTTAGTTTCGGTCAGTTCACTGATTTTTTTCATCGATGGTTTCAATTTCTGATTGCTTTTCTTTTACCCTCCTTCGGAAGCTATTTGTCTTTTTTACCAACAAGATATTCTTGGTTGTCTCAGCTTTTTCCAGCAAGCTGATTTGCTGAGTTCAGCCACAGTCTTCTCAAATTTTTTTTGCTTGCAGCTCTTGATCGTTGTTGGGTCTTTTTTTCCTTTCAAGCTCTTTCTCTTTGGCTTTAAGGTGAAGGTAATGACGGTATTTCTGTTTAGCACCTCTAACAGCAATTTTCATCTCCTTAGTTATATCAATCCCTTGTACCCCCCCCCTTCCCACAGGATAAGAAAGCATCTTTCACAAGCCTTTTAGCTATGTAGGTCTCTTTTAAATTATCAACTTCAACCTGCTGGTTGATTGAAAATCCTCTTTCTACAGTGGCTTGCCCAAGGGAGAGAAGCAAAAGTTTCTTCAAAAACTCATCAAATCGTTGAGTTCCGGGATTGAAGTCCCTAAACTCAACACTTACTCCTGTAGAATTTCAAAAATTCTGAAAGAATGGAATCACATTTTGCATCATTGACTTTTTTACACCTAGCCAATTCTTTCAGAATGATATATATTTTCTTATATGATTTATCTCTACTGTGATATATCTGCCTGGGGTATAGGGATGCAAGGCATCTAACTGATTGGATAGAGATTTTTCAGCTATTTTTCTTTACAATGGCAATAATGCACTTTTGGTAGTCATGCTGAAGGTCTAGCCCTGCTTTATCAGTTACCTGCTTCTGTGCAAGTAGTTTCTTTAGCATATTTCACTCAACACATCCGATTGAAACTTTGCTAATGGTACCTTTATAATTATTAAAATCTAAATGAGAAAAGTCACAGTGCTCTTTTCATTGCACTGACAGATTCATTACTTAAGTCTTTAAAAGTATCTAAAAAATTGAAAATCATTTTCCTCAAGTCCCTAGGCAAAAAGAAGGTAGCATCGACCAATCCTTCTGATACACAGTTAAAAAGGGCTGAAGAATTCTAATTATTGATCGAAAAAAACCCAGTTTTTCTGGAAGAAGTATGTCTTACGTGAAGCAACTACAAATAAGATTTGCTGCTGAGTTTAACTTCCCCTTTTCAACAGAAGAAATGTATTGTTTAAAATTATCCAAAATGGCAAAAGCTCCTTGGGCTGCTGTGACATTCTCTAGCCATCCATGCTCACAAAATTTGAGGGGCATCAATTTACTCTTTGAAGCTTCTAAAAAGTCTTTCCTTGCTGGAGCGTCTTTAAACAGCCAATGAAGGCTTTTCAAAAAATAATCTAGATACCATTGCGTCTCAACAAATCCTCTTTTAAAGCTGTTATTTTTTACAACATGTAGACTACAGCTACCTACGTTTGGTATTTGGCATCTGAATTGATTTTTTTTAATTTGGCCTGTATAGTAAATCAGAGATCTTCCAATTTACATTAAGGCCATCCATGGAAACTCCATTATTTAGGCTCTCATCGAACATTACGCAATAGTCACCTGATAGTTTGCAACTTTCAAAAACTTGTGACTTAAAATATGGTGCTAAGTCAAAGCACAAGTAATAAGAAGCTTTATTAGCCCTACATGAAAAAAGATCTGACTATCACACTGTCGCTAAACATGTCTTTAAGTAAATCAACAATTGTTTGGCATGAATTAAAAGAATAATTATTTTCTACGCACTTTAGAACGCATCTTATCTCAGCATAAGTACTATCAGTAGTGCCAAAATTCAAAACAGTTGCGGCATTGGAAGAAGGCACTGCTTCTTGAGATATGCTAAACAATAAATATTTGTAACCTTCTCCGCTTTGGTGGCGCTGCTGTCGCCGAAGCCTGATTGGTCGGCGAACCTACTTTTTAAGAAGGGGAGAAAGTGACGTCAGGCTATTCAAGGAAAGATGAAAGAAGAACAGAGTCCCCAAACGAAAATAATCAAAGATCCCTTTTTAATAAGAACATTATTTATCGGTAAATTATATTATTTTAATTTAAGTGTCATAATTAAATGTAAATTCAATTATTAATTTGATTAGTGTAAAATAATTAGTGTCAACAAAGAAACATTAAATATTACAATTAATAAAATAATAATTATATAATTTCCCAACCATAACACTGATTCTACTGCACAGAATATCAGCCTTCTAGTGGGGAGATTTAAAATTAAGCTAATTTACAACTACATTATCACAAAACTTTACAATAGCAAGACAATACTTATTCTTCATTTCACATTATATCAAAACATTATCTATTTAAACTAAAAATGTTTTTTTATTTTTTATTTCTAAAGGCAAGGCAAAAGGTACGAATAGAAAGATGAAATAATTAAATACAAATGTACGTAGGATAACAAAGAAAGAAGACCGAAGTCATTGCCTTAAAAGTTCTCTTGCTTCCCAATATCTTGAGGACTCAGTGTGTCCATGAAGGGCCCCTCATAGAAGCAGTTGGCCCCTGCCCAATTTCTCTCCAGATTTACAAAGTGCACAAAAAGGCGTGGTGGAAAGGCCTATGCGGTATAAGTGAGCAGAAAGACAATCGTGGCCTGTATATAAACTAAAAATATAAAAATACACATTAATCAATTATTTATAAAACAGTAAAAGATAATTAGAAACATCAAATTTGAAGGAATAGTAAATTATTAAAATATCATCATTCAGAATGTTCATTAATTTGTTTTCAGTTTAGCTCTAAGGTATAGAGCACTTGCACTGGTCTTCTATACTCACCAGTTTTAGTTTTTATGAGACAGGATCGAAATAGTCTGCCACGACCCTTATAAGCTTCAAGAACACGGCCTAGGTTCCATAAAAATTTGGACATACTTTTACCTTGAACAAGCACTGCATCACCGATTTTTAGGTTTTTCTCACAGTTGGGTTTGTTAGAAAAGTGATATTGTCTCAAAGTCAGCAAGTATTCGTCTTTTCAACGTGACCACACTTGTTTCAGAAGATGAATTTGATAAAGCTTTCTTTATATCAAACTATCTCGCATTGGAGTCACATTAATAAGTTCAGAAAAATTACATGGATAATCGTTCAGCAGTCCAGTAAATCAAAAATGAGCAGGTGTCAGGGGCTTAGTTCTGATTTATCATCGCTAACATATGTGAGTGGTCGACGATTAACGATTTTATTTTAGATTATATTTAAGTAAAATATATGTGGGAAAATGAGCTATTCAGAATCTGAATATGAATTCGCAAATTTATCGGAAGGTGGATCTGAAGAAAGTGATAATTATAGTAGTGATTCTGAAGATAGTTCAGAAGAAGATATAGTCGTTGATTGGAAGGAGATAAGCAATTTCGAACTAAATCCATCTCCTCAAAGGTCTCCATTTGTCGCCGCTTCTATTTAAACTTTTCTTTGGTGGACAATTTTGATATTTTGAGCTTTTGTTCCATGGAAAAAGTCTATATTTTATTCTTGAATAAATAAGCACTAATACTTCAAATTATCAATAGCATCTAATCAAAATAAACGTATTTATACACTTTAAAATTATTAAACACTCAGACTATTAACATCAGGATTTCCTTAACGGTTCAAGAAATCTGCGAAGAAAGAAAATAAAGTTCAATTAATTAAAAGTCGCCCAGTCAAAACATCTTAGCTTGAAGCACGTAAATCGAATTTACTTGGAATCGATTGGACTCTTCTTCCTGTAAGGGAGTGGGCTGGAATTAAGGGAAAAGAGTAGGTTTTTTTCTCAACGTAGGTTAAAGGGCGAGAATTTAAGATCGTTTCAACTTGAATCATTATTGTTTCAAGCTCTAAATAATTTAAGCATTATCTAAATAGAATTTTCTTGAGTGAGGACTTTACAGAGCGTATATGTCACCCCCAAAATCCATCCTCCCCACCATGCAGTTTTCTCAATATTGTTTTTCCATTTTATTCTCTTCTCACTAAAATAGTCCTGGCATTTTGATTCTTTCAAAGTTTCATTCAATAGATTAAGCTCCTCTTTAACTTTATGAAATTTTTTTGCATTATCGGAATATACTATCTTACATAGTCCACGTCGAGTAATAAATTTTTTTAAAACGTTCAGGAACGTTGCTGCAGTCATATCAGGTGACAGTTCCAAATGGACAGATCTAGTGACAGCGCATGTAAATGATAAAATATAACACTTCTTAGATTCTGAACTTTCCTTTTCCTTTGTGTACAGAGGACCTAAATAATCGATGCCAGTCACTTCAAATGGAAATGCCTCTCTACCTCTATCAAGGGGCAAACTTGCCATATTCTGTGTTGCTGGCTTTGTTCGCAAAATTTTGCATAAGTTGCACTTTCCGATTAAGGTCTTCACTCTCGGTCTACCCTTTAGCACAAAAAATCTTTCTCTTAAATCAGTCAATGTTTCCGATAGTCCAGCGTGTCCTGTTCTTTCATGGCATTTACGAATAATGAGTTCTGCGAAATTGTCGTGTCCAGCTAACAATATTGGATGTTTTTTGTTCATAGCTCAAGTTTGAATGTTGCAACCGTCCACCAATTCTAATCAATCCCCTCTCGTCCAGAAATAGCTTAAATTGACTAATTATTGATGAGATTGGGAATCTTTTCCAGAACTCAGATCACTAATTTCATTCTTTTTTTTTCCTTCTAAACACAAATATTACATCGTATTTTTTCTTCACAAATTGATACATCTGAAAATCATTTACATGTATTTGATTTGAAATATGATACATAGAATAGCCTTGACAGCGTTTCAGTAAAAAGTAAATACAATATTGTCCACATACATTGGATGTAGGTGATTGAAACACTTTGGAATTCCATAGTACTTCCGTGTAGGAAGTGGTATTCATGTTCTAAAATCCGGGAAGCTTCCCATATGAGTCATAAAACTCTAACTATCCTATGCCATAATACCAGAGTTTAATATAGTGCGAAGATTACTCAACTTGAATTGAAGAGATGAGGAAATAGGAAAATACCCCCTTTTCAATTCATTCAAACCAAAACTCTTCGGCAGTTTAGAGAGACCCATTACAAAAGAGCTTAAGGAATCGATCACTCTCATGCTGAAGGACTGCACGGTGATGCAAAGTAGTTTTGATCCTCTCATGATTACTTTTGGTTTAACTGATTGTCTGATGAGAAACATGCCGTCATAGCCTTACATGTCGTGTGGTGATATTTTGGCCTTGAGATTGACGAAAGTATCAAGGGAGTCATAACCTGAAAATGTCTTTTCGGAACCATCGAAATACTGCATTACAATTAGATTAGCCTTGTGTTCTCCGGATGACTGATCCGCTTCAATATCAAAAAATATGTTCATGATGATTATGAGACAATCATTGTTTTTCCTTTATGAAACATAGATGATCAGACAAGTCGCAGTTCTTATGACAATTTTTACCAAACATTTGACCACAAACGTGGGGTGTTCTCTTTTTATAAATTTTGTAACAGTCATTACATAGTCCAAATGTGTCATAAAGAGAATTTTGTTTACTTCCGATGTCCTTATGCCTTTCAAAACATTCTCTAGATTTGCAAATCTTGTTACAATCAGGGCAGGTGATTCTCGATACAACCTCACAATTGTCGCTAAAGCCTGTATGGCATCGGTTATTACAGCGATGCGCTTTATTATTTTTATAGCCTGGATCACATACTGAACAATAATAGACGGTTCCTAATAATGCCTTCATGCTATTTATAGCATGAAAATGTTCCCCAGTCTTCCATATGTTTACCTTTTTAACCCTCTCAACTCCTCGATGCACAACCTAAAAGATAAAAAATTTACGTGGAAATATTAAAAACAGACCTGTATCTAAATTTAATAAATGTAATTTAAATCAGCCAGCATATTATACACATATGTTTATAAATCTTACCTTATTAAAATTTCCTGCATCTACAACGAGAATTTGAACATTTAAAGCTTGCACAAGCTTCTCGATTTCATCAGTTCCACAAGGTACATCTGCTCTTATGTGCGTCTCCACAACTAGCTGTTTTTGAAGGGGCCTAGCACTTCTTCGAATATAATTCTTTCTGAGGTCATTCTCTAAATTAGCCAGGGCAACAACAGCTCGCGCACAACATAAATCGTCGTTGTTGGTTATCTGCACAATGCATCTTTTTGAGACAGCATCTTGAACTAGATTTATGATAGTTTTCCTGCTACCTCTTTTTGGTATTCGAATGGTTTTGACATCAATCTTTAAAGTTGAGTCGAATTTAATGTCCTTTCCGGACTGAGCAACTTTCTCCACCTCCGCGATGATCTTTTCAGGGGTTATTTCTGAAACGGGAGTCAGTCTGATGGAAAGGGGATTGTTTAGAACACCAGGATTTAAATCTATGTGGATCAGGTCGTGAGAGATCAGATCGCGTGTTGCTTGATCAATAATTCGTTGAAAGAGTTTGCCAATCCCTTCATGCACTCTACGCAATGACACATCAGTAGAACCTACTCAAGTGTCATTGCGTAGAGAAGTTCACGTCGTAGATCACATCCTCCCCCTCATATTTTCGAATTATCCTTCTACGACTTTCAACAATATTGAAAAGGATAATTTAAAATAAATTTCTATAAAAATCATAATTTTACTAGTTTATTTTTTTCAACTTTTAATTTTATGATGCTTACATCATTTTCAGCTTCGGTCTCGATATTTTCCAATCTCCGCCGCTTCGTATTCTAAATGAAAATACACGAATTAAATTTTTTTATATTCATCATATTTCATTTTTATATATCGATTATCATAAGATATTTAATTACATCATTATCATTTTCCAATCTATCAAAATATTTAGCCGTATTTGGCTGCGGACCATCATCAGTCTTACGTTTTCCATTCTGCATAATAAAAAACAAAGCAAAGGACAGTTAAACTATGATGAAAAAGTAATAAAATGTGACCCGACCCTTTCTGCTTGTTTAATTCTAAAAATATGTCAATAATAAAATTTTATAACAATTAAATATTAAAGAAAATAATCAAGAATACAAAAGAAAAATGAGATATAACTCCGTCTATAAAATAAAACATTAAATAAAGTACATTAAAAAAAGCATTAGTTAAATGTCACTTCAGCTGCTGGAGCCGGTACTCCTTTAACGTGCTCTGATCCATCACTAGAAGGTCCGGGCTGATTCTTAAAAAAAAAAAAAAATCTAAGTAACAANCTAAATAAAAAAAAAAAAAAAAAAAAACTCTTCCAGGTAACTGAGGTAGAAAACTATCACCGCATTCTTTTAGCCTGGCTGAGGGAGCATAGTGATTGCGAAAATATTTGCTAATATCCACAACATGTTTACTAGAAGGTGTAATATCTTCACCAAGGAGATTTAGCCAATGAGCTCCACAACCATATGAAACCTAATATAAATTTTCATCATGGTATTTTTGTTCTAATTCGCTTCTCATTTTTTCCAGTGTCGGTCACAATGCTTTTAATTTCACAGTTATACTTCCTTTTTACAGTAATAGTGTCTGTAGATTATGCCAGCAAGTATTCTGCTGTCTTTTTGTGGGCTCCTGCATTTTCTACATCAGCAATGAATGCTTTTCCATCAACTTGAACACATGATGCAGTTATATATTCGTTGTGTATGCTACTCCACCCATCGACAACAGGGGTTTCTTCTTTACCTTGTAAACTTTCATCTATTAAATTTTCTACTTCATAGTGAACTGAATGTAGAAGGGCACCTGATAAATCTTTAAGGTATCTGGGCACCTTCGACAACTTTTTTTTTAAAAATCCTTATTAATTGAAACCTTAAGGTTTTTTTTTTGGTGCCTTGTAGTATAAAAACTGCTTTTTTGCAGTTGTTTCAGCAAAAAAAATTTTATTTTTTGTAAATTTGGGGAAAAATATGGTAAAAAATGCTGTTTTTATGAAACCACTGTTTACGCTCTAAAAATTTTTCAAGTTAAGTTATTGAACAATTTTCTTCACTATTACGCTCGTAATTAATGTGTCTTTAAAACAGACTAAAAGCTAAGCTCTAAATTAGAGGAACTATAAGTTATGGCGTTTTAAATAGCTTCATTTAAAAATTTCGAAAAAAATACAGTTCAAAATAAACAAAAATTGCTCAAACAAAAAAAATTACATATTTATGAAAAAGATATTAGTCTATCTTTGAAAGAATGTTATAAAAAAGCTGTACACAAAATTTCAAGATTTTGGGACTAAAACTTTTTAAGTTATGGTGTAAATCGTAACTCAAAGCTTGCGAAAAATCGAAACTTCAGAAAATGCATTTAAAGTAAACAATTGCATAAAATTTTTTTTATTGTAATAAATATGCAAGGAAATCATATCAATGATATTTTACACCTTCATTTTTGTTATTCAAGTAGAAACATTTTCATAAAAACATTATTTCCTTTTTATTAATTAAGTTTTTACCAATGAGAATTATCAGATTTACTAATATGAATAAGGAGTAACCTTGATGTTTTATTTTAAATTGTAAACATCATTTATCATTGTAAACATTTAATATATTTGCTAGTTAGAACTTCTTTCTTATAAAGTGAAATGCTAGTTATATTACAAGATTAAACAAAATATAGTTTCGGTCAATAACATTTTTAAAAACAAGCATACACTTCGTAAAAGATAATGACTTAGAAGTATTATAACACACATTTAAAAAACACAGTTTAGAAAAAGAACATAATAGTTTTGAAGTAAGAGTTTAACAAAAGAAGGCACTTATAAATATTAGAAACAACCGCTTTGGTATGTAACCCCTTCTGTCAGTTCGATTTTTGAAAGTTTATGCTTTTTAGAAGCGTGTAACTTTATTCTTTGAATTTTTGTGGACGGTAAAGAATGTCGGTGAGCAGAATTTAACCGCAGTTTGTTCATTTCTGTGAATGCAAGAGTAGTGAAATAACCAGGGTTTATTCCAAATGATCTTAAAACAGATAGTAAACCACATGACCCATCGTTGAATTGCAAAATTGCACATGACACACCAAACTGCAGAGTTTCCAGTCCAACAAAAACATTCTTTGACAAGATTTGCCAGATAACACCATTGAAGCTTTCATTTTGATTCTGAGTTTTTCCATGCAAACATTTTTTCAACAACTCTTGATTGCACAATTTCATGTATGTTGGCTTTATAGCCGCCATTACTTTCTCAGGTAAACCTTGGACATTTTCTTTATAGTTTTTTCCTAACGCCTGAAACTGCTGGTACTTGCACCAACTCTCCAAGCCAGGAGGACACTGCACATGCATTGGCTTTTTTGAGCTAGAACAACAGTGGAAAAAAGCAGCAATTACTGATCTTTGCATCTCCAGAAGATTTCCACTATTGCTTCGAATTGCAATCCCATAATAGTTTTGTAGTTTACCTATGAACTTATCTGTCAGTTTGCCTTTCCCGCCAAGTCCTTTTGTATTTTTTTTTACCTTTCGTAAGTGGGAACCAACACGCTTTTGCACATGTCTAATGCATTCATACTTCAC